ACAAGTGCTCCTGATACAGCCGTGGTGGTGGAGGAGGAGAGCGTAGTTTTCCTCACTAAGGACCTTAATCTGAACATGCTCTCCAGGGTCAGAGATTGTATGACAGTGGGATGTGAATGCAGCAAAAAGCTGTTTCTGAGCTTTTTTAGTGTTTGTATTTAAGTATCTATGTGCTAATGTCTGTGTTCTGAATTCACATGTATGTACATGAATGTGTATGCATACACAAACACATATTCTTGGTTTTTGGCTCAATGGATTTCAGTGGAATCTGGGATACCTGGGAGGCAGATAGTGAATGCAACGTTTCTGCTTATACAAAATTCATTTCTTTAGCTGAACTTTATATTTTTCCTTTCTGGAGATTAGCAGGGAATGTTTACCCAGCCCAGGAGGAATGAATGCAAATCTAAACTCTGAGTGTCTCAGCTCTCTTTCCAAGTTAACACAACTGTCTAAATGTAACTAAACAGATCTTTACATGACAAGCAGGATTTTGCTTAATTTTCACTGTTGTCCTTAAATAAGAAAAATGAGAAGGCTGTTAGCTGATTTGTAGAAGTGATTGGTTTGTGTCAGAAAGCTTCCTCTTTTCTGGGGTAAAATTATAGAGCCTCTGGATATAGAAGAGTAGTACTTAGCAAAAGTAACTCTTAAATTAGATTTGAGACCCGTCTTAATTTTACTTTATCTCTGATCACTGCATCTTATTACTTTGATTATAATATGGATAAGGATATGGTCATAATACTGATCATATGATAATTATGCCACTAATTTAGTTTTGTACTAAACTAATATACCAGTAATATACATTCCAGGTTAAAGTAATTCTCAGAGACAATGTGACTATTACTAGTGACATCTGCCTTCTTTTCTAGTTCAGTTGCCTCTGTTCTACCTTATGAACAAGGGTACAGAAGGAAGAAGATTCTCGGAGTGTGAAATATCCCATGGTCTCACCATCCATTGAGGCAATGAAATCCTGGCTAATTGCTCTCAGAATTGTAGAACTGTAGAATCATTCAGGTTGGAAAAGACCTTTGAGACCATCTAGTCCAACCACCAACCCATCACTACCATGCCCACTAACCATGCCCTCCAGTGCCACGTCCACTCGGTTCTTGGACGCTTCAGGGATGGTGACTCCACCACCTCCCTGGACAGGCTATTCCAATGCTTCACTACTCCTTCGGAGAAGAAATCATGTTTCTCTCATGTCTGAGTATGTATAAAACACTTCTGTCAGCAGGCTTCTTTTAAAAAATCTGTTTGAATTATTGAGGATTTAGCCAGTGGCTTCTGGAAGTCCATACAGAAGTAGACCGAAAAGATCGAGAGGCCTTACAAGAACTCTCAGTATCAGCAGACAAAAAGTCAGGAGTGCAGAGGGGCTGTTTCTAATCCATAAGCAATTTCCAAATCAGAACAATATCCTTCATGGTTGTTATTCAGAACTTGTGGCTTCTGGGTTGCGCACACCCACAATAGTTTTTTGAAGAGTGGAGCAGCAGAACAATGCTTGTAATCTGTTTCATGTTTAATTCTTAGAATGTGCTTTTGCAGTTTGGATTTCTGTAATTCTTCCCAAGTGCACATCTTGCTTTTTTGTTTGCTGAAAGAGAAGTGCCTGGCACTGTTGCTTGATGTCCTTTAACTCTGTTCTCATCGCTCCCCCGAGAAGGATCTCATCTCCCAGCTCAGCCTTCTGAGACAAAACACCTGCTGGCATGCGGAGTGCAGGCTCTGCTCAGAAGGAGTGGCAGTGGCCAGAGGGAGAGAGAAAAAAGCCTGCAGTGGAAATAAGGAGCTGCTTATGTGTGCTTGTTTTAAAGCCGTGTTGCACCCAACAGCTCTGAATACTAGTTTACACTACCAGGTGTTGGGGTTCTAATTAAACATAGCAGTGTTCACAGAAGTCCTGTAGCTTCAAAAGGAATGTTGTCTCCAATCTGCCTGCTGCTGCCCCACAGCTGCAAACATCATTTCTTCTTCAGATTTTCAGCTGCTTTTCCTGCTGAGAATGTAAGGAAGAAAAAATCTAATTTCTTGATGGAACTAATTTCAGTAGGAAATTTTTAAATGAAGAATATCTGCTCCATTCAAGGTCAAGATTTTTTTCAGTTTTCTTCAACTGAGGTGCTTCTACTGAAGTATTTATGAGCATTTTGCACAGGGACCAGCCTAAAAGAGAAATATTTTCATAAGGAATCATTTTTATGAAATCTTTTTTTTTTTTTCCTTACATACTGATATGTGCTTAGCCACAAATCTGATGCCTTGGAATGAAAAAGGCTCTTTGTGGCTGGTTGAAATAGTTCCCACTTTTTCAAAAATTATTCCAAAGTGATGAAAAAGGAGACTAGAAAGACACAAGAATTGGAGATATTTAGTGCCAAGAATGTGGTGGTAGAGAATGTATCTTTGCAGAAACAGAGAAAGACATTTTTATGTATCATTAAGACATGAATAAGCCCTCGTTTGGGCTACTGGCTTGGAAGTGTGCTTGATAAACTGCTCCTTTTGTCTGCCATAGGGACGCAGATCAGTTTGCATTGGTCATGATATAGCTGCCCATCTTCTCCCTGCTTATTACAAGTACTGGTTTTATGAGTTTCTGCATGTGCAAGCCTCACCCTCCAGCTTGCTGTGTTCCCAGCACTTTGTTTGGGAGGCTGGGCAGCTGAAATCTGCTTCTGTCTCAGAGCTTCGATTAGTGATACTGCTGCTTGCTTTTTTCTCCTCTTGAGAGCTGTGCCTCATGAGTGCCAAACCCCTTTCCGCTGCTTTTAGCTCTGAAACAAATGTTTATTCATGTCAGCTGCTTTGCTGTGCTATTTCTTTTTCTGTCACAGTCTCTGGTAAGTAGATACGCTATTCTTGGTTAGTGTTGGAAAACAGATACATCAGTGTGCTGGGTCTGGCTGGTTTTATGGTAGTATCAAAAGCCGTAGACAGCCATGCTGAAGGAGCTGGGCTAGTAGCCCCCCCAAGAGAGTGATTAAGGAGACTGTTAAGACACTGGTCTAAGTATGTGTTTTAGTGCATGTATGTAGCTCAGGATATGTGTTCAAAATACGTGTGCTTTGGGATGATTTATCTCAATGCCACCATGCAGGTACTTCTGTTTGTGTTCTTTTTAAACCTATGCTTTTAACGTTTGTGCTTCTAAAGTAGAATACGACTTACGTAGATATTCTTTAGTATACGATACATATCTCTGGCAGTTTTCGTTAAAATATTTTCTGTCCAGGTGGAGCAAGGTCTTTTTTTATCACTGCTGATAGCTGTGTGGCTTTTGGTTTGGTTTCTGAAGATCTGCTGTCCGTAACAGTGACCCCAATCAGGAGGCTGACTGTTCCTGTCTCATAGTGACAAGGATTTCTGTGCAAGGTGTATTGCAAGCACAACAATCTGGCTCTATTTACAGAGTTACTCCCGTGCTCTCACAGATTGTTTTGATATGGTGAGATACTGAATTCACCAAAACTGAATAATCACTGTCAGGGATTATAGGTATTGTTGTTGCTGAATGGGATTTAAAATGTAAATTTCCTCTTAGGTCTGAATTTCAGTGTGTGTTTGCTGACTGCTTCCTTGCAGTTTGAAAAATATGATAAAATAATACCCGCCTAATTCCCAGATATGAGGCAAAGATTAGTTAATGTTTGCCTGGCAGGAGGAAGAATTAAAAGCCTGAAGCTATTGATACAGTTAGGTAGGGAGCTGGCATTTGGAATATTGCCCTGTAAATTACTGAGCACAATATCCTGCTCATGTTAAACAGGTGGCTGGACTTTTTGTGATTCCTTCCTGGATTCTTACCCTCAAATTCAGAGAGATAGATGTGGCACTGCCAATTGGAAATTTCATTCAATTTTGTTTATGTGGTCCAAAAGATTAAGATCTATAATTTTTTATGCTTTATATTTTAAGGAGAATTTGCCATGCCTAAGGTGGTGAACACCCAGCACTTGTGTGCTTCACAGTCAAAATGAAATAAATGGTTCTAGTGCTGGGGGCATTCACTAAAGAACAGTAAACAAACAAACAAACGTAAATATGTGTGAATGTAAAATGGCTGTAGCAAACTACAGTACTTGTTCTTCTATTCCGTTGACAGTTTCTGGTAATAGCCATGGTTGACTAACCCCAATAAGGGAAATCTCGATGATGATGATCATGGAGCAGTCTCATTAGGCTGAGCAGGCAATAGCAGCACTTTACATTTCCATTGAAACATAAACCTCCTTTCTGCAATTAAGCAGTGAAAACAGATCCAGAACCTTTTTTACCTTGTCCTTTGAGAACTGAGAAGGAGAGGAGTTGATTGATCCTAAGTGTGTTGCTTTCCACGTTGTTTCTCTTTGTTTCTTTTCAATGAGGGATCAAGACCTTTTGTCTTGATATTTCACAACAGTGCTCATGGACTGATGGCTTGTATGGAATGCTGTAGGAATATTTCTTTTGTTGAGTTGAAAAAGACTGCCTCTTTGTTAAGACATGAACAACCACTTCTTTGAATTGGAACTTTTTAAAAGGTTGACACAAGACAAATTTACCTCTCTGCTCTGTGTATGCTTGGATTAATTGAACACTTCCCTTTTAATCAACTGGTACTTATTAGTGTTAGTCTCCAAGAAAATAGGTGTTTTTCTTCAAGGGGTAAATACAATGAATCTGACCATAACTATTACCATGAGATTAAACCAGGATAAAGCAGCAAGCAATTTTAGTAGCGGGCTCTTTACATTCCTCCTGCTTTTGTTTAAAGGTAGTGATATCTTTGTACACTCAGAAATCTGAATTAAAACAACTCTTCGTTGGTTTTAATAATAAGTCTCTAGAACAGTGAATGAAGTTTTTATTTTCATCTGTAACCCAGCGCTTATCAAGTTAAAAATCCTATTACTAGTGGTTCGATTGGTGTTATTTATAACAGTAATGGTAACCCAGGGCCTTTGCAGTTAAAACATTGTTTTCTGTTTTGCTCCTTACAGGCAGTGCTGATGAATAACATCACAACAAATGAACGATTGATCCAGAGTCTACAAGGTAGAACATAATACCTCCCTGAATCGCTCTTTTTCTTTTTTTTTCCTTTCTTATTTTTCTTTTTTAATATGCTGTTTTTAAGACTTGAGCTATTCCAGTGTCTTCTGAAAATGCTGCCTTTCTCCAAGCTGTGGGGAATGTGCAGGAGATTTCTCTGTGATTTCGGTTCTGCATTTACACAGTTCTGGTTCAGTGAACTGTCAGTCTGCATATGCCTCAGTACCAGAGGGATTTGTCTGTATAGTTCTTGCTATAGACTCCTGATCCTTATCTGCTAATGGTATAAAAACAATGCAAAATAAAACTAGCTTATTAATGTATTGTTAAAACGCTTTTAATTGCACTTTTTATCACATATGCTTGCATTCCTCCCTGAAGTGTTTTGGTCATGTATTTTAGCATCAAGATAACTAGCAAACTTGTATTAAACAAAAAAAGGTAGTCTAATTCATTTCAATTCATGTTGGTGTTCCAGAAGTGTTCTTAACAATGTATGCCCCAGCATTCTGAGGAAGAAATCTTAAGTTCTATAAACAAGCAAATATATTGTCAGTTCTTCTGATGTCTTCATAGAAAGCTTTCTGTCAGGAGGCATTTATAATGATGAAGCATGATAATGATGCTTCAGATATTAAAAAAATGCAGAGAATTCCAAATCATAGATTCCTGAAGAATGTAACAGTGAACTCTGTGTTACTCAGGAAAGAATTGTAAACACATCTTCTGGTAGCTAATCAATGTGAATGCTATTTCATACCATGTTCTGATAAATCTCTCTCTCTCCTATACCTGGTAGCTTCTGGGGCTGAAACCTAGTAGACAAAGATTTTATAAACAAGCTAGAATATTCCTTGTAAAGAAAAGGAGATCAAAATCTACATTATGCAGCTTTTGTTATTCCATTCAGCCGAGAGGATATTTGGTCTTACTGAATCCTGTGCATCTTTCATTTGTCAATGTAGAAATTGTCAGTGCATCTGCATGCAAAATGTAATGAACGTGAGAAATGGATAGAGCTAGTGTGCTTATAGCAAGGTTTGCTATCTGATATATGTGTTGTACTATCTAGCTAAATATATGTGTACATTTTAATATATATTTTAATTTTATTATGATCAGAACACTTGAAAGAGTTACAGACAGAGTATGGAAAGCTGCAGCTGGATGTTTACCGATTTCAGAAAAACCAGACTAACCTTCAGAGAAAATTCTCATATGACCTGTAAGTTCTATCTGAACTGTGCTTCCGGAGTTGTAAGTGATTTGGTTATAACCCTAAGAATTCTTGTGACAGCTGTAGCACTATCAATAGATACACCATTTTAAGGTGGAAGTGACACCGCATACATCTGAAATTGCTCAGAGTTAATCTTGGAGAAGAGCATACGCCTTGCAATGAACAGCATCTCAATATCCATAGACTTCCTCTACGCTTCTGGATCTTCCTTCCAGTGCAGGAGGAGAAGGGTAGCTATATTCTCATTTCAGAAGTGGGGGAAACTGGATCATGAACAGGCTAAGCAATGAAGAAGTTTAAAAACTAAGATATAGAAATACTTTTGAGAGGCTATGCCTCATGGAGTTGTTGGAGGCCAAACAGGAAGCTTCTGTTAGAGTTATGGTTCTGCAGTGCATTTCATACTTATCCTTTTTTTTTTTTTTTTTGGTTGAAATTTTTCACTGAATTGTAAGGCACAGATTGATGAACAAAAGTACCTATCAGTATATGTACCCTACATGTATACCCTAAACATATTTCTGCTGTTTGAATTTCTCATAGGTTCTTTCTGCTTAGTAATGTTCTTGTCCCTCAGCTTCTCCCCTTTTGTGCTTAGGTATAGAAAACTGTTACTCTTTTAAAAGAGATGAATCAGAATTCTAATAATTAAGGACTTTTAACATAAAAGGAATTTGAAGATATAAGTTTGTACCAACCTTTTATTAAGCTGAATTACACTTACATGCCAATCAAAGTATTTTACCCCTCAAAGTACACTACATCTTTGACACAGATGAGTCATAACATAATTGGGACTCTTGGGCATTTGTTCATCTTCTTTGCTAGCTAGATAAGAAGGTATCTTCCTTGATGGCTGAGGTCATCAAGAGTAACTGAATTCATAAGTGAATGTATGTGCTGTACAGTTGTGCTCCACGTGAGAAGTAATCGTTGAATTATTGATTGATAAATGTGTGTAGAAAAGTGATACAAAATTGTTGTAGTAAATCTGACATCTGGAAACTCAGGCTTATTGTCCATGAAATATTTTCAAGTACATCTCATTTATCTGCAGAAGATTAGATCTGGAGGGATCAGCTGCAGGAGGGAACAGAAAGCAGAGTGAAGAGATAAAGTTATGGTGATGAAATCATACTCCTTGGATGGGTTTGCCAGGGTCAGCGTGGATGCCAACAGGACTGAACAGGGATTAAGCAGTCAACTCGTCTGCCTTCCATTAGTCTTTAAAGCAGATGCACCATATTCTGCTGTCTCTCCTTGATAATCCACAAAAGCAGCTCTCAGTTGAGGAGCTACACAATCTTCATGAGGTTTGCTTTATAGCACTTAAAAGTTCATTTATGGTAGAAAGGGATGCTAAACGTGTGGTACTTCCTTGGACTTGGAATTGTATGGATGAGAGTATGGCACCTTGGATATCAAGTACACTTTGCCTAGCAAAAAAAATCAAAGAAAGAATTACTGTATACTTGAAATTTGCTTTTTTTCAAGTACACAAACTGCACATTTTTAGTCAGTTTGGCTGTTGTGTTGTAGAAGACAGTGATAAAATTGTGCGTGCGTAACGCCTAAGAACAAAATTTAATATAGGAGGTACAGAAAACATACGTTTTCCTCAGGTTTCATCACAGCAGAATTATTTTTTGAGTGAGTCTCACATTTTCAGTTCAACAGGCAGCAGAAAGCTGTGTGAGCGTGCTCGTATCAGGACTACTCAAGGTCCATCTGTTCTCTGCGTAAGCTTTTCTTTCCCTACATCACACTGTGTCCCACACAGCTGCCTCATCTGATTTGCTAGTCACTAGGTCTCAGAAGGGAGTAGAGGAGTGTAAGGTAATAAAACTAAGAAGATAATAAAGTAGGAAGGAGCAAAGGAACAAAGAAAATAATTTTACAAAATGAAATTTTAGGAGACAGTTGTGAACATGGATGGAAGTTTGCAACTTCTCACTTGTTCATGTTCTTTCCAGGTCACAGTGCATCAACCAGATGAAGGAATTAAAAGAACAATGTGAAGAAAGGATAAATGAGATATCAAAAAAAGACCGTAATGTACCGCAGGTCAAAAAAAATAAGGACTTCTTAGAAGATTCAAAAAGAAGCACCCAGGTATGATAGGAGTAGTTTATCGTAAGTCTTTTTCCCTGTGATTCTTAAGAGGTTCTCCTCCTCCTTTTTGCTATCTCCAGCTAACATTATTGTGTCTCATTAAACTTTTCAGTACTTTCATTTGCATTGGTTGAATGCTTCTGGTTTATGTGAAATTGAGTGAATCTGGGGAGAGAACAAGGCATAGATCCTGGAGAGGTCTTTATTGTTCTCATTATTACTGTCCTCTGAGACAGGCAGAATTGGAGAGGTGATAATGAGAGAGTGAAAGTGGTGAGAAGCCATTTCAAGAATATTTGTGCTGCTGAGCTTTGGCCCACAGCTCCTTTTGAGTTCGTTAAAGGACTTAATCGCTTTGTGTGTTGAAGTTGTATGTTTAAAGATGAGGATAAATTTACTGTCAATCACTTCAGAATAGCAGAAAGCCTGAAGAACAATCCTGTAGCCCACAGCTCTTTACCTGGGACTTTGGGGTTCAGCTGTTTATCGCAGTACCGTGAGTTTCCAGAGGAATACAGATTTCGGTCTTGTACAGCAGGAGTGAGAGTTTTGTTTTTTTTTCTCGGGATCAGGGAGCTGCAGGAAGTGTTGCTGTGTGTAACACAAACAGTCTAGTGGAATAGCATGGGCTTGCCACCTGGGTCGGCCCTGTGCCAGCAGCGGTGGCTGTGTGCCCACCCACTCTTTCTTCCTGAGCTGTGGAGGGTGGAAGGAATGCTGAGAAAAATAAATTTCATACAATTGTCTTGTCTTGGCATGTAAATTATTGATACTTCTTTAGTAAAGTAGGATTAGATCTGGGATAGGACTTGAGTAGTTAAGCTTGCCATAGATGGCCATGGAAACAGGCAGCAAAACCCCCATATAAAGAGGCAACTAATATATTATACTTAAAATAATTTAACTTAAGGTGCCTCTTTCTTCAAGACCACAAGCCTTGTGACAGAAACTTTAACATGTGATTGCATTAGAGACTATTTGAATGGCCAGCTTTCATTGCAAAGGCAAAACAGATTTGGTAGTTCCTGCCTTCTGTTATATGAGTGCTGCTAGAGGAATGAAGCATTAGAAACAGTGAATGCTATTCTTCTTTTCCCTTTCTTCTACAGGGATAGTTCTTGTTTGTCTGAGTAATTTTTGTGAAGTGTCAGATAAACAAAAAAATAACGAGCTCATCATTTGGACACAGGCGGGAAGACTTTATAGAGCAGATGTGTCTTGCTTGATTGAATGATGGAAAATACAAACCATTGATAAACTTCATATGGGGAAGAGCATACTAAAGAGATGGGCAAGTGAATTTCTGATATTGTCTTGCATCAGATTCTCATCAACATTACTCATACCAGATGAGGTCTACTTACCAATTCCAGAAGCTAGGAAGTCTTGCATTCTTCTCCAACAAGTCTCATGTCTGAAGTCAGTATTTTCTCAAAGGCTACAGGTTACATGTCGTTCTTGTTATCTACAGATGGGTTGGCCCCAGCTCCAAGAGCTGCTGATAGTGCTTCAGGCAAAATAGTTACCTTGTGTTCCCTAATGTCTATGGCAGTATTTCTTATGTCAAGTTGTAATTTTTTCAGTTATTTGTTTGCCAACGATTGCAACTTTTGCATATGCAAAGGCTGAGTTACTGAGTCACTGTGTATGTTTTTAGCTGGAATGATTCCCATTTTTACAGATCACAGTGGCTCAGCTAGTGTGATTTCTTTTTTTTGTGCTGAGTTTCTGAAATGCACATACTTATGTAATAGAAAGTTCAGTATTAAAATAAATCAGAGAAAGGAGGTAGGTTGTTGGTTAGTTAATAAATACACAGCTATTCTTATAGTTTTGTCTTTTGAGTACTGATGTATACTTATACTCCTAGGTTGGGAATATAAAATGTGTCTATTAATTTATCTTTAACAAGTTTCAGTTATCTTTTCAGACAGAAGACCAACCACTTCAACTTGTAGCATACACACGCTTTTATTTGATGTCATCATTAAAAGTTACTGAGTTGAATATGTAAGATAATACAGCTTAAGGCTTATTGCGTATCTAATTAAGAGCTGAATTGTTGCTATTAATTTCAGGCTTGATATTTTTACAGAAGTATGTGTGCCCCAGCATAAACTGGAAAGTAGTCTCATCTTCAGACTCTAGAGATTTGTACTGCGGAGACAGTTATGTCTAAAAAAAACAAGAGGAATATTTAAATGTAGTACCTTTATGTTTTAATGACTGAAGAAAGACAGACTTCTTCTGAATACCCTTATTGCAGTAACTTTACCAAATTTTCTGTGGTAGTAATTACTTCTCAATCTGAGGTGTGAAATTGTTTATTGTTGATGTTGACTCTGAGTTGTTGACCCAAGGTCTTTAGCTCTCCCTGGCTTTACCTGAGCTTAAGCAATTTCAAAATAGCCAAGTAATCAGTGACCAACACATCCTTTTCAAATTTAGTTTCTTGATTATTCAATCACTTATTTCTGCAGACGTTTTACCAAATGATCACATGAAGATTTGGCAACCTAGTAATTTATTGACCTGCTTAGGACAATAAGCAGTTACAGTTTACCAACAGCTGGAAAAGGAAGATTTTTGTGGATGGTGTGACTTTCTACACCATAAAGTTTTTTTTCATTCATTTTTTTCATTTTTTTCATTTCAGTTTTTCATTACTGATTTGTGTAGTGCCAGCTATTTAAAGTCTCTCTCTGTAGGTCTGTACACTTTTCTCTCTGCATCTTTGAAAAGAATCATCATAGAATCACAAAATGGCCTTAAAGATCACCCAGTTCCAATTCCCTCTGCCATAAACACTCACCAGATCAGGGCTGCTCCCCACCAGATCAGGCTTTCCAGGATCCCATCCAACTGGCCCTGAATGCCTCTAGGGATGGGGCTTTCACAGCTTCTCTAGGAAACCTGTGCCAGGGCCTCACTGCTCTCTGAGTATGGAGCTTCTGTCTAACATCTCAGCTTAATCTCCCCTCTTTTAGTTTAAAGCCATTATCCCTTGTCCTCCCACTATGGGACTGTTTAAAATGTCGGCTCCCTCCTGCTTGTAAGCTCCCCTCAAGTACTGGAAGGCTGTAGAGAAGTCTCTCTGGAGCATTCTCTTCTTTGAGCTAAACAAGGCCAGTTCCCTCAACCTTTCTTCGTACAAAGGTGCTCCAGCCCTCTGATCTGGATACTGGCCCTCCTCTGGACCCTTTCCTACAGCTCCACGTATTTTGTGTGCTGGAAGCCCCAGGCCTGAACACAGTAGTGCAAGTGAGGCCTCACAAGGGCGAAGCAGAGGAAGACAATCCCCTCTCTGTCCCTGCTAGTCACTTTTCTTTTGTTACAGTCCAGGATACTGTTGGCCTTCTGGGCTGCAGGTGCTGGCTCAGCTACAGCTCACATCCAGATTCTTGTCCTCCTGCAACCTGGATACATGCTCTAAGCATTAATCAAGCTGGGCACTTTGTAGTCATTTGTCTGTCAAAACCAGACATTGTACTCTGTTTTTTTTTTTTGTTTTTGTTTTTGTTTTTTTTTTTTTTTTTTTTTTTTTAATTATTATTTATGCTAGTATAGGGCAACATGGGCTCCAGGCACTTCTCATGTTCAGTTTTTATGTGAACTGAATTAAGATAGCTATTAAATGCTAATATGAGTAAAGACCGCATAGAGAATTGTAATTGTTTAGGTGAAAGATCTTCAGGTTGGTGGACAATGTTTCTATGATTCTGTGACATCTTAGCCATTAATCTTTAATCAGATCTGACAGGTCAGAGTCCAAGACCACTCAAGTACCAGTATTCAGTACATCCTTAAGTTTGGTCTTCCTAATAATGTTGTCTAGTTGTTGATATTTTGTTTTTTTTTTCCTTCTCTAAAACCTACATTCAACATTTATTCCAGTTCTGGACAGCAATGATTGGCTGATTATGCCCAAACTCGGTTTACCTGTTCCTGCACTAGCAGCAGTTAATGCCATCTGTTTTTATTGCTCTGCTGTCCCTGGTGTGGTAGCAGGGGTACAGTAATGTGTGGTGCTATGATTCTGTGACCCTTGCTGAATAACAGGAAACACTAACCAAGAACAGTATTCTCAGCTGGAATTAGACAGAAGGAAGGGTGTTAGATTCTTGTAATGTTGTGTGCTGTTATGTAGAAGCATTGCTGCCTCAGGATTTAATGGTACTTCCATCACCACTAAAAATTTCAGTTCAATTATTTGAGTGCATTTAGATTTCTTTTCCTCCACTGAAGTCTGACTAAATTTCAGCTTCCAAATCCAGGACTGAGTGTTCAGAGCAATGTATGTCTGTGTGTATTCACTTTACAGGCTGATGGTCAGCTGTCAGTTCCTAAACAACCTGAGTTCAAGCAGACTGATTTGGAACAGCAGAGAGCCAATGAAGATGTGCCAAAAGCAGTGCCTACAGTAAAAAGGACAGATGTTCTGCAGCCTAATGGTGAGATAAAATCATTGGTATCTTAGCAACTTGAGTAAGAAAGTTTGCAACTTAAATGAACACTAAAAATATTTTTGTACCCAAGAAGGAAAAAAAATGACAGCAGTGGACTGAATTGTAATAAACTGTCCTACTAGCTGCAGTAATTTGTCCAAGTGTTTTTTTATTACTGCCATTTCTGCTGGTTCAGCTATTTTGAAATTGATGTGTTGCTTCTAAAGCAAAATAAAAATGCTTGTAATCACTTGTTTACTGTTGAGAAAATATTTTGCTTTTGCATGCAAAAGTTTTTAAGTATGTTTTGAATTTACTTGTTTAGTAAGTTTGATACATCTAGCCCACTGCCCCTCCCTATCTAATACCTGAAAGTTTAGCATTAGGCAAACACGTTCCTGCGCTTGCTGTGTCTCAGTGAGCAAAGTGGGTGATCAGAGATCAGATTAGGTAAGCCATGGTTGTTTTTGGCATTCAACTCTCACAAGTATTGACTTGAATGGATGTCCCAGTGTACTAGTCTCACAAAGTACTGTGCATGTGAGAAATCCAACTTTCTATTAAATTACTCTTTTGTTCTATCTTTAATAACAGGCTTAGGAGTAATTTTAGAGAACTAGCAATTCCAAGCAACTACTCTGTTTAGTTTATTTATTCGGGTGAGTTTTATCCTGGCATTTTTAAGCTAAAAGTGCAGATATATGATATGGTAATGCCTGCTGAAAGCAGCAGCCCACCTCTGCATTCTCTCCACACCTAAAAGTGAGAACAGGCTTCATTTACTTGAAAGTCTGCCCCTGTATCCACTGTGTCCTGAGCTACCTTTGAACACCTGATCTGTTATATTGTTAATAACAAAGCATGATGCTCAGACAGCAAAGCATGATGCTCAGAAATCTGATGCTTACATAGCACACTGGAAGTTTTAATAGAGCACTGCTCTGTTTCACCTGCCTAACATTATTATTATTTTTTAACTCCACATACAAACATTTAAGTAGGTAGCAAAGTGAATCTGGTGATGGTGGATGCTGGACTTTGCAGGTTTTATACTTCAGCTTTCATACTTGAAAAATATGGACTGGACTGTCTTCTATGTTTCTCCTTGAATCTGATGTGATTGAAAGAAAAATAAGAATGGAATGTGAAAAGTGAAGCAATGTCTATTCAAGGTTTTCAACTTATGCTGCCACTGAAATATTTTTTCTTTTTTCTTTTTTCTTTTTTTTTTTTTTAATTTGGAATCATCAATATAATTCACAGAAAGAGCAAACGGCCTTGCTGCCATCAGAAAAGAGGACTCCAAAGCAGAAGAGGAGAAGCTCTCTGTTGAACTGAAACATCCGCAGGGTTTGGATATGGCTGACACAGGCCGTAAGGAGATGTCCCCTGAATCAGAGAAAGAACTGAATCCAGCTGAAGTTGGAAAAAACATAGCTGAGCAAGAGGCACCACAGCTAGCTGCACAACAGATTGCTGAGGAGGAGGTGGAGAGGGAGCAGCTCCTCAATTATGATGTTAAGCAGGGTGACTCGCCTCCTGGACAGGCTGGTTAGTAACACCTTGCAGACTGCAAGAAAGGGAATAAAGATGCGGAATTTCTGAAATAGTGGTGGAAGTTGGCTAGACTTAATGCAAGGCTTCCTAAGTGTTGGTGTGAGAGGCTAAAGATCAATCCTCAGCACCCTTTCACAGTCCAGTGGGTAATGACAGAGGCTTCTGTTTGTGCAGTGAGGAGCTGCCAGTTTGGATTCCTGTGTGTCACTGTTCTAGCTGTTCTGTCCTTCTCTCCATTGTCTGCACAAGGTGTCTGGGGACTGCACTCTCAGAAACCTTTCAGTACTGGGGCTTAGTCATATGACATGTTTGGAAAGGATGCAACATACTGTGCGTACAAAGCATCGATGGGTAGAATATTGTGTAGATTGTCATTTTGAAATGGGTAGCTATAAACTATGTTGGCATGAATAAAACTTTGCTTGAGACTTCAGATATCTGAAGTTCATTACTGTGACTCAGCAAAACTGCAAATTGAAAGTCATTGGCAAAGGTGCCAGTTTTTTGGTTCTACCATGTGTGACCCTGTCTGCACCATGCTGAGTATTGATGTGATGTCTAAACCTGACCAGAGTCTGAGCCAAGCAACTTGAGGAACTCCATCTTAGGTACTCCTAAAATTGTGGTCATTAGCAACTTTTCCGTGGAACAAAGTAGAATTTTCTTATGCAGTAGAAGCTTGCAGCACTATGAAGGATCAGTTTCTTGCTTTTCCCATACTCATTCCAGCTTGTCTTCCGTCTTCCACCAGATTATCCCAATTACCTCACTACCAGCTCTTCTGAATGGGGAAATGTGTCACCCCTCTTTGTGTAGTAATGCAAAGTAGAATCAGTAGCATGGACAGCAAACAAGAAGTAGTACTGTTTATGTTCTCTAATCCAATGAATGCATTTATATAATGCATTATTATATGATATTAGTAGAGTAGATAATTTGGCAAGGATAAGTAACCTGTCTCATCTGCTTTGCCAAAGTAATACTTTTCCAACTGCACCAAAGAGATACTTACCAGAGCAGGCAGTTCTCCAAGGAAATGTGACTATACAAGCCAAATGTTTCATTTTAACTGAGGTATAGAAAAAGCAGATAGTGAAATCATCCAACAACTGGTGCAAGAGAAAGCCCTGCAGTGCAGCCTGTGGAAGGTCAGTGTTCTCTGAATGCAGGAACAGCACAATATTCTCTATGCTTGATTGTTCAGCAAAAATAATATACCTTATGATGTGGATTCCTTTGGTTGTAGGGAAGCAGAAGTGGACTTCTACGTTCTGTGAGCATTCTCTGTTTTTCATTTAAAGCTTCTTTTAAAAGCTTGAGACAGTGAGGCCTATTACTGGAAAGTATTTTTGATGTTCTAAACATGTACAAAATAATGCTAAAATTTTTCAAGCCTTCTTCTAATCAGTTGCTGTTAAAGTTTGGTGTTTTCTTCTTCTTGAGAACCAGAGACTCTTCTCTTAACTGGTCATTATGGTTTCTCTGTCTGACTAACTGAAAAAGTAAAGGTAGGGTTCTTGCAGTCAGAAGTAATTTTCTTCTGAACAATCTATACTAAGAAATTTTAAGGTAGTGAAATTTGCTCAAGATGGAGCCATGTAGGGCAGGACAGTGTCAGAGTGAAGAAAACCATTTATAGAAAACCACTTTTAAGGCCAAGTTAGTATATTCATATATTCATTTCATGCCATCTTCAGAGCTTTATTCATTGCTGGACAAGCCAAAACAAGGAGGGGCTATCTGAGATACCTTTCAGAGGAAGTGTTAATGCATTGAAAAGCAACACCATAGTCAGGTTTTCAGTGTAATCTTCAAGTTTTACTCTTCTAAGACTGTCACTTAATGTATTCTGAAATTGCTTAATACTTTTCTTTTGTCCACTCGCATGCTGGCTGGACTTTGTTACACTTCCAATTCCCAAAGATTGTTATCTAGCTTTTAATACAATGTTGACAGCAAAGGTTTTCTATTCTGAAAGGAAAACATTAAAACTCACTCCCTAAACAGAAATTCATTCACTAGCAAAATAAATTATATCGTAGATTTTTTTTTGCAGTACTTATTTTGTGCCATGTAAAACAAATTAACTGTAATGTTTTTCCAGACCAACAACCACGTGAAGCATTGAATGAGGACAAAGATGTTGACTACAATTTAGATGAGAATGAAGCTGAATCAGAAACAGACAAGCAAGCAGCACTTGCAGGCATTGAAACTGGTAAATAAATAAAGAATATTTTACTGGAAGCACTATATGCTGCTAAGTACTGTGATGATTACTTTGAATTTTATACTTTAGCAGATTCAGATTGGTAATTCCTCTTTGTTCCCCAGTTTTCCTACTGTTTAGTATGATGTGTTGTTACATAGCATTCCTGAAGCTACTTTTTAGTAAATGGTGGAGAGGGGGAGTGTGTGCAGCCTTACTGTTCAGCACTAACAGTCCCTTCAAAATTTTCTGGATGAAGACCTATCACTCCTGAATTTTAAAGAGATTTCTGTACCTTTTTCTTTCTTCCTTATTAGTTCAAAATTCTCAAGAAAAAATATGAAGAACCACTTGACCAAACTGGAACACATCAGAGGCTGTGAACAAGGGAAATTCATGATGCATCTTAATCAACTCTTCCTATAAACACAGTAATGACCAGAGCAGTGATTTAAGAATGTTTGATTATCTTTTCGAGGCTTTGATAAAGGCTCAAATGAAGTAGTTTGTTGTGAAGTCTTAGTACTGTTTCAGGGTGAAAAAATTATATATCTCAAGGCTTGTTTTAAGGCAGTGTGACCTCTGCAATGAGACTTTTCTTCCTCCTGATTATAAAGTAAAAACCAGCTAACAAGCACTGTAGTAACTTTGAAGTCAGCTGACTTGTGCAGTCATGCTACAATAACATTATGCATGGATTGGTGGTAGGTTGGAAAGAGTCCTCTGGCAAAGATGGAATTTTCTCCTGACCAGTGCAGTAGAGAAATCCTCACCCTAGTTTTCAGAGTGAGGAGCTAACTTACTTTGGCAAAACACAGGAAGCATGAAAAATGTCCTATGCTGCAGTCTGCCCTCATGCCAGTTCTGACACCATTTTACTGCAGTGTGGGTGGACTTAGGATGATTGTAGTTCTCAGATATGACATGGCATTATATATTTTCCTTTATTTCATAAATGAAACTTCTAGCTTACATAATCTGTACCAGGAATGAATAGCTGTCTTGGTTTTATTCCTAAGTTTTGCATTAAAAATAGATTCTAGTAATAGAATATTCTTAAGAGATTAGCAGGAGTGTATCCTGAAAGCCTTACTGGACGTCTCTTCACAAGATTAGAAGTGCCACTAGCTTATGCAGACATCAGTCAGACTGACTCCTGAACTTGTGATGTGACAAGCCTTCAGCAGGGGTGTGCTACTTCTGCCATCCCTCTGCTGGAACAGTGTATTTCACTGAAGAGTAGAAAGGAAATGCCTGCCTTATGTATGGAACAGCAGATTCAGCTGTCAAAAAATGTCTTCTCTGCTGGACTTTTGAAGGAGGCGGACCAGGTTGTGCATTTTATCGCCCACAGTTGAAACAGTAGTTGATGTGAAGTGCTGTGTCACACACCACTATCGTGTTGTGGGTATTCTGTAATCTTTGGATTTTCTGCAGCTTGTTGAACTAGTTCACTCTGAACTGCCAAAGTAAGTTAAGCCTAGAATACCCATGGCTGCCCCTGACACACCTTTTGACTTCAACTGTCACCTTTGTTGCTTCTAACCAACTGTTTTGAAGATTGCATTTGTGTCTGCTTTTAAGACCAGCCCCCATGTTTGGAACAGTCTCCATGAGTATGAACCAACAGCCACATTGATAGTATGGGAGAAGTCAGACACAAATGACTTCCTAACCAACAGTTTCATTTAAGAATACAGACATTTATCATGGCTTCCTCTTAATGTACTTCATACCATAAGTTATAGATTATCATTCTTTAATGTGTTAGTTAACTACTCCTGTAGCTTAAAATGCCTAAATGTGCAAATAGAGGGCTGGTTTTTTTGTTTGTTTGTTTGTTGTTTGCTTGTCATTCAGCAAAAGAAGCAGGAGCCATCAAATGGTGCCTGGTCCTCCTAAGTCCACAAATGGTTCACTGACAGACTTGCCAAGTGTGACATGAATTGAGAGAAGAGCTACCCTCTGTTACTGAGTTACGGGTTACTGCGTATTATCACCATGTAAGTCAGATTTTACTGTGCTGACTATTGCAGTCAGTAGTAACAGTGAAAGCAAATATTTTTAAGCAGTAGAGGATATATGAGCATTTCTTCTAAATGACAGATGTTGGAAAACTTGGGGATATTTCTGTGTTGCTGATTCTTTATCTTTTGTAAAACATGGTATGCTTTGGCATCAGAATGTTTACATGTATTCAGAGTAAAGTGAGCATGATCTTAGGACTTAATCTGTAAACTGTTGTTTAGCTGAGACTAAGTTAATCGGGAATTTCTGATTGCAGAACTGTACATTTTAACACTATGAAATGTACAGTGAAATGCTGTATTCAAGTTGAACGAAATACTTTAACTTGAAACTGCTAAAATCCTGAATAAAACCCACAGTTCTTTAATGTAATTAATATATTGCCAGAGAATTCTTTTAGAATTAGAATAGTCCAACTGCCTGACCACTTTAGGGCTAACAAAAAGTTAAAGCATGAGGGCATACCCAAATGTCTCTTGAACACTGACAGATACAGGGCATCAACCTGTCTAGGAACACTGGCAGAGTCCAACCACTCTCAGGGTAAGGAAATAGCTGGCAGCATTTCTGTACAGTGCCTAAAACTGAGTAGGCTTCTTGGTAGCCAGCTAGGTGGCTTCCAGTAAACACGACCTCCTTTATACAAAGCACAATTGCTGTACCTCTTACAGTGGAAGGCTGAAAACCTGTGTAAAAGCAATGTTCATAGACATAGCGGAATAATGCCCTACTCTCGGTGGCTTCAAGTGCTACAAGAATGTACCTGGGATCATAAATTTTTAATAGACAAGGGACTGTTGTGTCTACTATATGGAACTTTAAAGGACTTGATGTAGTTGAACAAAACAAGATTCACTTGGAACTGTGGTTAACAAAATGTTTATCACCAGATTTTTTACATGCATGAGGGTGGGGAAGCTGCTTGTCTGATTTTTCTGGGCTTAAATTAACACTTTTCCCCATTGTTTTTTAAAAACAAAGTCTGGTCCATTTAAGTACGCATTTTAAAATAAAAACAGTCTTCTCTAATGTCTGTTACCTTATTCTGTATTGTTGATATACTTGTTAATGGAAATGGAAAAGATGATCGTTCAGGTTTTTTGAGTTCTCTGAATGTTGTAGAAGTTACCTGGTGTCCCTCTTATTTGCTGCATCTTTTGGAGAAATACAGAAAGCTTTCCCTGAGCCACTGGTATGCAGTTAAACATTTTGAAGACTGGAAGGATTTCTATAATTGCTTACAACAAGGCAGCAAAAGGCAGATGAATTTTTAGTGGCCTACAGTACCTCAGTTGGACATCTTTGCAACTACATGATCTGGGGTTTCCGTTCCTTTGAAGCAGCTCAGGTAGATCTGGTTTGGCAACGTATGGGTGAATTATTTCTACAATAGTACTATAATAATAATCATAGAATCATAGAATGGTTTGGGTTGGAAGGGACCTTTCAAGATCACCTAGTTCCAACCTGCTATAGACAGGGACACCTCCCACTAGGCCAGATTCCTCAAAGTCCCATCCAGCCTGGTGTTGAATGCTTTCAGGGGAGCATCCACAAACTCACTGGGCAACCTGTTCCAGTGTCTCACCACCCTCAGGAATTTCTTCTAACTTATAGTCAAAGTCTATCCTCTTCCAGTTTAAAGCCATGCTACATGCCTCTATAAGAAGTCCCTTCCTAGTTTTATAATAGGCCCCCTTCAGGTTCTGGAAGGCTGCTATAAGGTCTCCTTGGAGTCTTCTCTCCTCCAGGCCAAACAGCCCCAGTTCTCTCACTCAGCCTGTCCTCATAGCAGAGGACATAGCCCTCTTCACGGCCCTTCTCTGGGCCCACTCCAACAATTCCATGTCCTCCTTGTTTTGGGGGCTTCAGAATTGGACGCAGTACTCCAGGTGGGGGTCTCACGAGAGCAGAGTAGAAAGGTAGAGTCACTTCCCTCAATCTGCTGGTCACACTTCTCTTGGTTCAGCTCAGGATACGGTTTGCTTTCTGGGCTGTAAGCACACTTTACCGGCTCATCGAATCTTTCATTAACTGACATCCACAAATCCTTCTCCTCAAGACTGCTCTCAAGCCATTCTCAGCCCAACCTGTATCTGTCCTTGAGACTACCCTGACCTAGGTGCCAGACCTTGCATTTGGCCTTGTTGAACTTCATGAGGCTGGCATGGGCCCACCTCTCACGCCTGCCCAGGTCACTCTGGATAGCTTCCCTCTGGTGTGTCAACTGCACCACTCAGCTTGGTGTCATCTGCAAACTTGCTGAGGGTGCACTCAGTCCCACTGTCCATGTCACCTACAAAGATGTTAAACTGCACCAGTCCCAACAGTCCCAATACCCATCCCTGAGGAGCACCACTTGCTACCTGTCTCCACTTGGACTCTGAGCCACTGACCGCAACTCTGTGAGCGTGACCATCCAGCTAATTTCTTACCCAACAAGTGGTCCTTCCATCAAATACATTTTTTCCTCCAATTTGGTGACCAGGATGTCATGTGAAATACATCAGGCCATGAAGGAAGAGATGCAACATGCAGATGGGCTTGGGATCAAGGGGTAGAGTTGACCGCAGACAGTTATCCATGAATGCAAGACATGCCCTGCCCTTAAGGGAGCCAAACAGATAAAGCCTCTTTGGTATGGAGGACAGTGGCTAAGATAAAACTCAAGGAAGTTAGCTTATAGTGGTGGAAGCAACCAATGGCTGTCTGGAAACATCTATCCTGGGTCTTGGAAAGTATTTCTTGGAGGGACATGACCCCCCAGAAAGAACTGAGTCAGACAACAGGACTCATTTCCAAAGTAATCTCATTTATATGTAATTATCATTACTATTATTTTTTCTCCTCCCTTTTCTGTCTTAGCAAATAGTTTTCATCTCAACTCATGTGTTCTACTCCATTGTTTCTTCTTCCCTATCTTCAAGGGCACTTCACCCATTTGAGGCAAAATTGCTCCAAGATAACTTACAAATCTGAAACAAAATCACTGAGCTAAATGAAGTCTACTTTTCATCTGCTTTTAATTTCTATAAAGATTTTTTCAATTGAATGGACTTGGCAAGAAAAGAATTCAGCCGTTCTACTTGCAAAATGCAATGCATTCAGGCAGAAGCATGGAAGCTGTTTCTAACTGCAGCAGCTCAGCTGTGTCTGTTATCAGACATACTGCTGTAGAGCATTATTTTTATTCAGCAATGAGGGTTAAGTATTTAAACACCATTTTCTGTCAGGGTTAATTTGTAGAAGTAATTTATGATTAAATCTTTATTTAAATCAAAGAAGGTACAACATTTGTCAACAATACAGCTGATTAAAATCAGCTTCACCTGTGTAACATTAGAAAACATCACTTTAAAACAGCAGTTGTCATTCAGTTCATTTAAAGAAGGCAGGCTAGAGATATTCCATAAATCAGCACTTTTATCCCATAAATCCCACTCAGCTGGCACAATACTAGATATTCCATCCTACTGCTGGTACCTGATTATGCTTCAGGTATCCTAACAAAGTCTCGTCTTTCAAACAAGCTTCACAACTGGAAAATACTTATGAGGAGAGAAGTCAAATTCTGGAGGAACCTAGAAGGGAGGCATTTAAAATATTACACTCAAGCAGCAGAAGGAGATAGAAAAAATAATCCCAGCTCTTTTCTATCTATCTGAAAAATGCTCCAACCTGGTTCTGGATCTTTCAGTAATTTCTCCAGTGGTAGGAGGTACAAAGTTGTGAAGTGCATTTCTTCAGCATCATCTTTTCTGTGCCTACCCTTCAGCAAGAAAGTCTGAAGGCCCTCTCCCATCCCTCTGATCCACTGATCCTGAAAGCCAGTCACTCTCCTTGCTGTGTTCACACAAGTTGCTGGCACGCTATCAAGTACTCCTTCCTGTTCTTGAAGACTAATTTTGTATATGTTATCCCACACATACTTTCCAATTTTGTTTCAAAGACATTTAAAAGATAAGAGTTTTCTTTATTTAAATAATTATAACATACTTGTTTCCAAGAGAAAATGAACTGTTACTTCCCAGTTCTTTTGACAGTCAGAGTAACTGTGGCTTAAATCTGCTAATTCAGCTGTGGTATTGTTGCATAGACAATAATATTTCACATTAATTTAACCTGGTATTTTCTTACCTTAGAGTCTTTTTTGTGACCTCCTGCCAGAAGCTTCATGACCACAATATTGGGTTTAGCAACTTTTAGAATTCGATTGACCTATTCAGAAAACAGCAAGTAGTTTTCAGTTGAAAGCATATGACTTCAAAAACATTCCAAAGATAATACACACACTTGCATACTGTAACAGTACTACAGTACTACTCCTCTTAACAATATATTTCACCAGAGATCAAAGAGTTCTGAATTTACTCAGAATTACATTAAGTGGATTAATGATATTTAATAAAGGGAACATTTTATTGTTCAACAGACCATAAGACCACTGTCTTCCATCCTTAAGTATAAAGACTGTTAAAAATATGACAAATTCTGAGGCACCTGTCTGAAAAAAAAATGTTTAGACCGACTCTAGGTATCTACCCTATACACTGATCCAAACATGAAGAGAAGTGTTTACAAACTAGTACTGAAAAAACAAATGGAAACAAATGCCAGATTGAAATCTACTTTCCAGCCAAACTAATTTTTCCCATCTCTCAGGGAAAATTATCAGGCTCCAGGTAAGCTAGGAATGTGTGGATGTTAACTTCCTGGTAAAACTGATGTTTTTCAAGTGACATCAGCAGGTATCATACAAGCAAGAACTATGTTGCTGCCTGTCATTTAAGATGCTCAGCAGAGAGAGCCTTGGAAGGGTGAGCACAATGCAGATTCCATCTATCAAATCTGATGAAATGAACTGCTGTGTAAAACGCCACCACCCTCCTCTGACCAGCCCTTAATAAAAAACATTCAGCTTTACTCAGTATTTTGGAAGAGTGCATGTAAGGTACCCTGGATCTCAAGCAAACTCAGCTTGAAACAAGCACATTCTATCATTAACAGCTACTAATTTTTCCAGTATTTTAGTCTTACCTCATGGTCTGGATTAGGAATATTCTCAAGAATCATTTTAGCTTGCTGGAAGTGTTTGCTAGCTGCCATGTAGAGATCTGCTGATTGAGGAGGGGGGCTGTACTTATTTAAATCAGACATTTCCTGACATATAAAAGAAATATACAAATACACATTAAGATCAGTTGCCAGTAAGTTTTATTTTTATTACCCTGAGATTGATAAATTTTAAGAAAAAGCAGTAAAGTTAAAAACATTTATTTTAAAAGGCAAATCTTAAGCATTGTATGGGAACTGCTGAGTCACAGCCTGAACCTCTGATTGATCACCTGAGGTGAGCCTTGAGTCAGCCAGAGGAGCACAGGTGAAGGCAATTCGCCTGTGCTGCCGGAAGGGGTGGAGCCAGGCTCCACCCCTCCTAGACCTATTTAAGAGCTGGCTACCAGAGGGGAAGGATCTCTTCTGGAGATCCCCTCTTTTGGTATCTTCTGGTGAGCTCAACCCAAGGGTAAGCTCTTCCATTTATTCTCTTTTGTGATCGTTGTCTGCTTTGCCTTACTCTCTTGATTATATTGCAATTATAACATCTTGGTTATACAAATTATAACATCTTGGTTATACAAGCATCAATACATTGTTTATTTGTCATTGTACACTGCTATAAAATATTGCTATAAAATGATACCTGTTTTCAATAACTTGCCATTCATTTGATTAGTTAATCCTATGCAGCAGGGAATAAAATTATAGGAGGAAAAAAAAAAGGAACAAAAAATACAAAGCCAAATGGTTGTAACACTATTTACTCAAAGAACGTTTAAGACTCACACTACTTAACTCTTCATTCTATATAATTTTGAAGCTTCAGTGACAGGGAAGAAGCCATGTCTTCACTTCCACAACAGCTATTCATGATGCTAAATTAAGGAGTGTGGCTGGCATACTAAATATTACAGTTGCAGTACCAGACAGACCTGTAAAAGCTTAAAGATTGGCCAACAGGTATCTGCAAG